AATAACACATTTTGATGGTAATTATGTGTTGTAGTTCCACATTTATAGTGAAATTAGGAGGGCTTATTTGAGTATACCTATCCATTTTACATTTAAAAAAAATAATCGCCTCCATTGAATAAACGCCTCCCTCAAATAAAACGTCCCTTAAAAACCCTATTCAACAATAATCGCGTCGGGGCGTTTGTTCGAATAAATACTGTATGTTTCTTTTCATACTTGCATGCCGGGTTGTAGTTACTTCTCAAACGATTTTTCATTTCTTATTCCAGTGGGCCTACGTTTAACAGTCTCAATTTAATGGTTAATGTTTTTCAATTTATACAGCGCAAAATACAAAGAGCTTCTTAAAGCGCTATCAAAATAATCATTAAAGTTCATTCTATACAGGCGGTCTGTATGCAGATTTATTTTAACATTAATCATTGAGATTTTAGAATGTAATGAAATGTACCCAATCGGCAGTGGAGGCCCGAAGCAGTGAGAAGAGGAACATGGGCACATACTCTTGGAAGAGGCGCTCTCAAACCAGTGTTAAATTGTCTATTTTAACGCCACCACGCGGTTAGAAGTATAGCGAATTGCAGGGTATGATGTCACTTCTATTGACTCACAGGCGTTGGCAGGCACAGTATTGAAAACCAACTATGCGGAAGTTCGAAACAGCTGAGAGTACGACGCAATAGGCCCGCTATCCTAGGATACCAAAAGGCCTAAATATTGAAAAACTAATATAAGCTTATATATTCTAATGAAAGTAGCAATTAACTAAAAAATAATCAATCAATCAAACAATCAAAGTAACATTTGTTTTCTTCAAGTTGGAAAAAAAACCCAGTAATGTAAAGCAAGGTAAATGATTTGAAGAAGGCATAGCAAAAAAAAGGACAAGCTTGTGACAGGCATTTGGTATTGGTATTTAAAGATTTTGGCCAATAAATACCTAATAAAACGAAGAAAAGGCACAATATAATATTTTCTTTCGAGTTTTATGCTCTGCATATCTTGCTTGCATTGACAGTCGGCCACAATGGATTTGATATGCCGCATTTAAAAACTTACTGTCAAGCTTAAAAAATATGTTGCATTAAGCGTTTTCTTGATGAGAGATACAGTCCTAACTGGGAGCTTTTGTTTTCTAATGCTTTAGCAAAACTGAATTTATAGGATTAAGTAAAGGTAAAGGTTCGAAACCTGAAGCAGGCCGGAGTGCCCATCTCTCTTACTTTAGCGTTTGGGCCTTACTGTGCAAGGCTGTGGGAGGTTCGCCACACACATTATATTTAAATGTAATTTTGACCTTTAACTAAGTCATTTCATGGGTTTTACCAAGACGTTTTGATATCATGGAGTGAATACAATTATACAATTTTACTGACAACCGAACAGAGTTCTATTCACAGAGTGCGTTGTGTACCTCTTACTTGACAAAAGAAATTCCAGTTAATGTTAAATTGTTTCAGAATGGATTGCGATTATGATTTGATTGATGGAAACGGGAGTTTCTATAGTGTCAAACGAACTCAAAAGCAAATCAGGATTAAACTTAATTTTATTCTTTATTTCAATATTATCAAATCTATTCCTCTAAAGTGGAAACAAAATAAATAACAATATAATTATAAAAATGAATCTGGTGAAAATAGATTTGAGATTATGCAAACAGCTAAAAGGCTTTGTCAGTTGATGTATAAGCAAATTAATACTTAAGAAACAATCCGTGGGCATACATGTATAGCTATACAAATATGGGAAGATAAACTTCAAGAGAAAACAGAATGGAAATTTTGTTAAATAGGTTACACTCTTGATTGTAAACTGAAGTAGGTTGTAAGCAAAAGAATTTTCAATATAAATTTGTACATTGAAGAATTAGAAGAGTTTTCTATTTAAAATTCACAAAATTGATTCAATTCTTTCTCGTATTTGTAAGAGTGAAATTCAAACAATGTCGCATTTATATTTTGAATGTATAGATGTTTTCAAGAGAAAACAGAATGGAAATTTTGTTAAATAGGTTACACTCTTGATTGTAAACTGAAGTTGATTGTAAGCAAAAGAATGTTCAATATAAATTTGTACATTGAAGAATTAGAAGAGTTTTCTATTTAAAATTCACAAAATTGATTCAATTCTTTCTCGTATTTGTAAGAGTGAAATTCAAACAATTTCGCATTTATATTTTGAATGTATAGATGTTAAAACTTAATGCAACGATACCGATCAACATTGTCGATATATTTGTTGGTATAGGAACAAGATATAACTTTAAAACAATACATATTTTACTGATTATTGCAATGCTGTACACATTTAAGTGTAACCATCTTAAGGTTACTCCGTTTTTTAATCACTTTTAAACTATTGTAAAAAGAACGGTAGAAGTGAAAAGCAGATTGCTTTCGAAAACAATAGATTAAACTCGCATGTTCTTAAATTGAAACGTTTAGAATATTAAAATTGTCATTTGCGGATATCAATTGCTTGCTATCAATTGATATATATATATATATATATATATATATATATATATATATATATATATATATATGGAAATCTTTTTTTTTTTTTTTATTTGTCTTATTTTTT